CAACTTTGACACTAGATAAGGTATTATCAGGATTCTCTATCCAGTTTAGAAGATCAAATCCCAAATACATGTCCCCTTTGTCATTAAAACAAATGGTAGCTCCTGCTTTATTTATAAAATGAATTTTCTTCAAAGCCTTATGTATCTGAATATATGAATAAATGAACGAACAAACAAATTTATACATTAATAGTTAATGATATGGCTTGTTAATAAATTTGATGTTTTGCGGAATCGGATGAATGTTAACCTATGGCCTAGAGTGCTGTTTCCAAGTGGCCTTTTAACAATAGGAACATGGTGCATTTCACTATCATGGTACAACAGTGATTGGTGGGCATTGTGGAGGTTAGTTGTTCCTAAAGGATGTGATTTGGTGTGATAAACCTTTACATCTTCCAGGACTAGCTTTCAATATTCAGTCGCATGACATCCACGAATTACAAAGGAAGTCCGTGCTGGAAGACTTCACTCTGCGAGACACTGTGACATCAGGTCTGAACAGGAGGCTGCTAGTTATATAAAACCCAAAATCTATTACTAATTGTGGGTCTTACTCTGATCAATGTCTGAATGGGGAAGAATATTCACTCAGAGCAGCCAGCTCAACATTTCTTGTAGTTGCTTGGACTTGCGAGAAGAAAAAAAAATGATGATGCAGCACAGCAATTTTTAAAAAAAGAATAAAAAAAACTCAGTATCACAATTGGAGAGCAGTAGAGTCCCAGAAACAAAAAAGTCACTATAGGATTGGAAAAAAGGAGTCCAAGTATTAAAAGACCACTTGTTCTATGGCTGAAGCTCTTCCAGCAAAGTATTGGGTAATCTCTGTGCACTGAAACAAATACAAAAACAGAAGGTTCCACCATCTAAGTGTATCAGTTAAATAAAACTAATTAAAAAAAAGGATTAAAATGCACTCACAAAAGGTAGAAAGACCCAGGCACATCATCAGTCCTTAGCTGCTTGCAGAGTTTGGCAGGGAAACGGCCGGAAGACTCGTAGAGTAGCGCTTAGGAGTGGCTGTGTTGATCAAGCAGAGTTCGGCTGAATAGCAATGCAGGGCATGGCATAGCAGAGATGGATTCACAGATAGAAGCCATAACCACGCTGGAGCACAAGGAGTGCTGGAACCAAAACCGGAAGTGATATCGGATGTGATGTCATCGGTGACAAGTGCGTGGTAACATGTTTCGGAGCTCAGGGACGCTCCTTTGTCAAACCACAAAAGACAGAACATCAATGTGGCATTTTTATTAAGGGAAGGAGGAGGGGAGGGGCAGTATGTAAGATAGGACACTCTGTAATCACAATAGGATATACCTGGCCAGATCAAAAGGGTTATAAGGGGAAGCTCTAGCCCAATAATTTCAGAAAAGAAAAAGAAAAAAAAACAAATAATGTTTTTATTTCAACTGTCACTTTATTTCATGGCCTTTTCCTTGACAAACTCTGAAAGCGACTAAGGACTGATGATGTGCCTGCATATTTCTACCTTTGTAAGTGCATTTTAATCATTGTATTTATTAGTTTTATTAAATTGATTCACTTAGATGGTGGCACCTTCTGTTTTCTTGTTTGTCAAAAATGTTTTTACATTTTACGTTATTTTCTCTACATCTTTAGTTACATTACTTACCTGTAATGACGTACATCCCACAATTCTGTAGAGTCTGTAGAAAACTTCACTGCAGGGCTGCCCTTCCTCTTCCTGCTGCTACAGGAGAGAATCCTGTGGCTGATCAAACTCCTCCCTATTCATAGACAGTGTTACAAGCAGTTTAGTCAAAGAACTGTTCTTAGTAAAGGAGAGGGCAGGAGGTGGCGTACCTCTGTCAAATCATCTGTAGTGCAGCTGAGACCTGAAGCTGTTAACCACCACAGGACTGGAAGTTTAGTAGCAGGAAGAGGACAGGGCAGCCCTTTGGTAAAGATTTCTACAGAATCCAACACATAGTGGAAAATATTTTTTACAGGTGATCTAAGTATAATAATATATAATTATGTGGCTTAAAGCTAAATATTCGTTATTTTTTCCTCTACAAGTTTAGACAAATATATAAAAGCAAAATGTCCATAGTCAAATCTAGTATGTATACAGCATATCTGAGTTGCAATGGACTATTGGAACCACTGGCAGCTTTCTGCCACAATGCCCAGCAGGGTTGATAGATAGAAATTTATGTAGGTATAGCGTACATAATTTTACTTTGCTTTATTTGAATTTGCACATCAGCCAGAAGTGTGTTATGCGGTGTGCTTCCCAAAGCCCCTCAACAACATATGCACTAGGATCTAGGATCCTGCATGCTACTTTTTGCCACAGTGAACAGCCATTGTAGAATACGTGCCAGCTTTTAGTGAGAAATCGACTGTTAACAGACTGGAAATGTTTTAGCTTTACAAATGTATTGTTATGTATATTCACCTCTCTCTTTATTGGGTACACCTGTTCTATTGTTTGGTAACACAAATTGCTAATCAGCCAATCACATGACAGCAGCTCAATGCATTTAGGCATCTAGACATGGTGAAGAGGACTTGCTGAAGTTCAAACCGAGCATCAAAATGGGAAAGAAAGGGGATTTAAGAGACTTTGAGCGTGGCATGGGTTGTTGGTACTAGGCGGGCTGGTCTGAGTATTTCAAAAACTGCTGATCTACTGGGATTTCCACACACAACCAAATCTAGGGTTTACAGAGAATGGTCCAAAAAAGAGAAAATGTCCAGTGAGAGGCAGTTGTGTGGATGAAAATGCCTTGTTGATGTCAGAAGTCAGAGGAGAATGGGCAGACAGGTTGTTGCTACATTCAGATGGTAGAGTCAGAATTTTTCATAAGCAACATGAAAGCATGGATCCATCCTGCCTTGTATGAACAGTTCAGGCTGGTAGGTGGTGGTGTAATGGTGTGGGGGAGATTTTCTTGGCACTTACAAGGTGTACCTAATAAAGTTATCTCTCGATCTCCTTGCATAGAGAAAAAAAACTGTTTAGCAAAAAAAAAAAAAATATTAAAAAATAAAATAAAGAAAAAATACCTAGATCAAGGTTTGATCTAGTTCAGTGCCAGGGTTAGTGTTTGGGTCAAGATCAGGGTCAAACATCAAGGTCAAAGGTCAGGATTTTCATTTTATTTTTATTTGGTGTCAGTTAGTGTCAGTGTGTTTTAGGTAAAAAACAAAACAAAATGTGCACTATTGTTTCTGGGCTGTACTATGGGTACAAGCAACAAATAACATACACATATATGGTATCCCTGCGATTGTCAGGAGCTGGAAAATTTATTTTGGGTTGTTCTTTGGTGGTAGATTATGGTAGTAACAAGAAACACACAGCTAAATTAAAAATATATATATTTTTTACTATTTTGGGCCAGTTTTACTTTGATAATAAAAAAAATTACCATTTACCACTAAATGAAAGGCCAATTTGTCCTGATAAAAACAAGGTATGATTCACTTGGATGTACAAAGTAGTTGTGATGATATGGACGGTTTTACTAACACGTCAAAATTGTGCTTAGGCATTAAGATTTGTTTTACCCTTAGGAATGAAGGGGTTAAACATAATAATTGTGTCATAAGTAATGCAAAGTTGCAATAATGTGTGTTGTTGTTTCTGCTGCCACTGTACTGTGTAATATTGAAGTTCTTGATAAGAGATTTGGAAGAAAGTCATCCTCTGGATGTGATTAGGTCATACATAGTTGCTGGAAAAAGGATGAAATGAAAGAAAGATTGTAAATGAGGTCTAATAAGTCTAAGAATGTCCCTTTGATAGAGCCGTGCCTTTTTCTATGGTCTCTGTACCAGAAATGTCTGGTTTAAGAAACTGAGTCACTCAATAAAAGATGAAATGCAGAAGAAGGGATTAATTTATATTAGGACTAGTGTAAGGGGGTGTTAGATATACAGGTGATTTTAGGGGCTAAGTACCAGAGTGGTTTGGTGTTATGGGCCACTTAATGGGGGTAAGGACTGCCAAATTAATGGCCAGATTAAAGCTAAATTCCGAGCAAATATCAACAAGACAAATTAAAACATTTTGTTATGTATTTATTAAAAATTTTAGGGACCAATTTACACCTATTCATTGTGACAGTGTGCACATAACAACGATGCATAACACACAATATGCTTTGATGCATTGTGATGCCATTTATTTTGAATAGCACCCCAACACACTAAGGCAATGGGCATTCATTTCAGACTTGTCCCTCAATTCTATTTTAAAGCTCCATGCACACTGGGGTTCTTCTAAACACTTTTCTACTGACAGGAGGAATGCAGCTGCAAAAACGCTCCTAAGCCACGCTATTTCAAATGCATTTAGGTAAATCAAGCGCTTGGGTGTTTATTCATTTCACTGGCCAGGATATTTTTTTTTTGCCCATTTAAATAAAAATGATTAAGCACTAAAGGTGCCTAGAGTCAACTCGTGTTTAGACACGTCAGTCGATTTTTTTTCTACCAAAATGCTTTTGTTTGAAACATACAAGTGTCTTTTTTTTGTCTGCCTCTGAACTCCTGTAAATGCCTATTGTGTTCATGGATACATAGGTCAACCACTTCAATCCCTGGCACTTTCACCTCCTTCCTGCCCAGGCCAATTTTCAGCTGTTCAAAGGACACAGCTTATCACAAAGTGTGCTGAGTGCACGCCCCAGGGGGCACGCAGGAGGTGCTGTTTCAGGAGGATGTCTATAGACGCCCTCTCAGAACTGGTAAATCGCGCTGTAGCCATCTTTTGGCTATAGCATGGTCAAGAACTGGAGTTTAGAGGCAGAGGAAAAAAAGCTCAAATGCCTGAGCTCAAGTGTGCATGTGGCCCAGGGGCGGACTGACCATTTGGAAACTCGGGCACTGCCCGAGGTCAGTAGGGGGCCCCATGAGATGCCCCTGGTACCTTTTTCATAGGCTTTTTTGAGTTTGGGCAAGGACACAGGGGCCCCATGATCTCCTATTGCCCGGGGGCCCCATGAGTTGTCAGTCCGCCCCTGATGTGGCCTAAATGCATATAGCATAAATACCCGGATTTAACTGAATTTTAGCTTCTTGTATTTCCTTCTACAATCTCTCTAGTAGCACAGGAGTCAAGCAGATATGGAAAAGGCTTTTCTTTTTAACACCTTCTCTGAGCTTCCTTACCTGCTTGACTTGTCCACTTACTCCCGTCAGTACTGAGTACTTAGTACTTTTCTGCAAAGACCACATTATACAGTTCTAACAATACTCCTGCTAACAGATTTCCCATGTACACACACACAGACATAACCAGCCATAGGATGGAGGTACTCTACCCAATTCCCGCACACCCTCCAACTTTTCTCTTTAAGTTTGTGTTATGCCCCAGAGCCCAATTCAACAACAAACTAGGCTACCCAGTGAATTTAGTCTAAACTTAAGCTAATGAATTCAAAATACATTTAGTTTTGTTTGTTAATTATTATTTTTTAATCTTTTTATCTGCTTTAAGAGATGTGATTTATTTTGATAAATTCTAACTTATACTATCATAACAAAGGGGTCCCCAGATATTCCCCCCCCCCATGTGAATCAGTAGGGGTACATAGAACTCCAAACCATTCAACAAAAAAGTAAAAAAAAACGTTTTTGACAAGTCCTATATTAAAAATTAAAAATAGATAAATAAATGTCACTAAGGTAGATCCAACTTCAATCATGATGAATTCTGGCTGCCGACCCACACACACACACAAAAATATTCTGCCACTCGCTGAACACAACCACTCCAATGTCCCACCACTCAATGAATGACATCCCGTCATCATGACTGAAGTTGGATCTACTTCGAGGGACATTTTTTTTTGTGGGGGGTTAATAAAGGACTTGTCAAAAACTGTCTCTGTGTTTTACTTTTGACACATTGTTGGTGAATGCATAGGGGTACAATATACATTCACATGGGGGGGCCGGGATCTTTGGGCCCGCTTGTTAAAAGAGGTTTCTGGATTTCGATAAGCCTTCTGCCCCAGACTCCCACAACCACTGGGACAGGGTTGTGAGGAAGATGCCCTTGTCCTCATAAACATGGGGACAAAATGCTTTGGGGCAGCCCTCCCAATGCATATCGACATGTTGAGGGCTTGTGTCCTGGTATGGTTCAGGACGGGGGGGGCTCACTCATCCCCCATTTTCTGGCCTGCCGGGCTGCATGCTCGGATAAGGGTCTGGTATGGATTTTGGTTGTAAATCACAACCAGTGAACCAATAAGGAGAGAGAGGCTCCTTATTGTGTAAGGCTCCATTCACCCCTATGCAGTTTGTTTTTTGTCCATTTTTGCTTTTTTTCTATGAGCTTTTTTTACATGTTTTTACAGCGTTTTGCGTTTGGTTCACACTTTTTGTTTTTTAAACTGGATTTTTTTTTTGTTGCTTTGCAGAATAAAAATGCAAAGTGCAAAACGCAGCAGAAACGAGGCAATAACGCACTACCATGCACTTCAGCAGCTTCTCCATTGAATTGTATTGTAGGAAAAATGCTGCTTTTTACTTTTAAGAAAAGTCCCTGACCCTTTCCAAAAATGCAGCATCTCAAAAAACCATAGATGTGGAAACCATGTTAAATGGACTGTAGTGCGTTACTGCAAAAAGCACTAAAAACCGCATTGGTGTGAACAGAGCCTAAATGGGAACTCCATAGCAGGAGGGGGCCAAGAGCACCAGCGAGGGAGCAGAAAAGAGGAGGATACAACGGGTAACTGAGTTAGCATCCTGTATACAGCCATAGAGATTGGAAACTCACTACTGTGTGTGTACCGCCTGGTGGCAGTATCTGGTGGAGGAGGGTGGTTGTAGATGGACCTGGGGTATGGTGCACTTACAGGCTGAGAAAGCATTCAGTCTCAGATCTAAGTCCCAAAGAGCAGAATAGCAGAAATGTCCCTGCTCTGTCCTTCCTCACCAGGAACCTTTCTCTATCTCTACACAAGAAGAGCTCTATCCCTATGCTTCCCACTTTGCAAAATGTGAGCCAACTGCAGCAGGACAGTACTATTTATTAGCATTGCCCTCACTAAAGATGGCCGCGGTGTCACCCAGGGTTGTAACATCCAATTGGACAACTGTTCCCCTGATGACACTGATGGAAGCTCAAGTTCCTCTTAGCTTCCTTTCTTGACACAGCGGCCATGACACAGCACCATCTACAAGCACTACACCTGCCTACACACTTGAACTGTCTACTCATTTGCAGAGAACTCCACCACAGTGTTCATTCATTTTTAGTGGTTCACTGATAGAAAGTCTGGTCTGGTCAAATGTTCTGCACACACTATGCCTCAACTTCCATGTGGTGTGAGAACACTGTCAGAGCTTGTGGAGTTCTACAACCTCCACCCCCTGCCAAGTAGTGCTGCATCAACATGTCCCAGGTAGCTGCATCCTTACTGGAAACACTACCAGCTTACAGAATAGAAGAGGAAGTAGGGGGTTAATTATATATGGAAACCTTCATATTTATGTGGTTTTCCATATACTATGTGGATTCCTTCTTTTTCTCTTTTTTAAGGGAAGTACTTTGTTTCCCTTTCAAACCCCTATATCTTTATGGCTTGGGTGGCGCTCCTGCCAGGCAGTGGTTGCGACTTTGATCCTCTAGTCTAATCTATAGACAGCTAATACATTCATGACAGGTAATAGTGCTAACATTATATTATCTTGAAATTTTTGCATGATTATGTAATTATATTTACTTGTTCATGGATGTATGTGGTGAAATTTTGAATATATTTTTGATTATATTATATTATATGTTGAATTGCTATTTATAGAACTTTGTATTAGTTCTCCCTGAAACAGCAGGCTTTGTCCCTGCGAAACGAGTAATTTGAATGAATATGATCACTGGAGCTACTGTATTTACATTAATAAAGAATTAACTATTTTTTAATCTCTTTTGAGACACCTACATTACCAGATTGTTACAGTTTTAAACATTTTAACAAATTTTTTTGTACAATAAACACGTAACTTTTTATATATAATCTTGGTGTGGTACCTTCAAAGTCCTATTCGGTTTGTGTTAGGGTTTTTTGAGTTTTCTTTTTTAGAAAAAGAAGTAGAAAACATATAGAAGTATACCAAAACAAGGAAAGGTAAGAACAATGTACTACTTACATTCCACATGAATTTATTTTCCATGAAATGGTTTTTGTCCCTTGTATCTAAGTAAACCTGGTGTAATGCATGGGCTAATGTATAAACTGCATTATATATACTGTAACTATAAGATGAAAAATATTCATAGATTTTAGGCAAAATGGAATCCTGAATGTTATTTTTTCAGTACAGTTTACAGTTGCATAGTCACAGCTGAAAAGTTCTTCCCATATCATTTTAAGGAAAATATCATTTGGGTAAAGTTTAGGGCTTAGGCTTTGAACAAAGTTTTCAAAGCCTGGGATTTTATTTGTAGAAACGCTGAAAGCAAGACTTCCATTGAAAGGTTGGAAATTGAAAAAGCTGTAATCAAAGCCAGCAGAGACATCCCACTGAGAGGCAATGATCCATACCTTCTGTTTAATGGGAAACATGAATAGTATAATTCGTAGTGTTGTTATATAGTCCTGATCACCATACAGAATAATAACATTAACTGATGCTGTGGTTAATAATTGAACAATCTTATTTCTTTTATTTTCACTTAAAGCATCGTGATAAGGGATAAATTCCATAAATGCTGTGCAATAACCAATACTTGTCAGCTCTTTCTGGAGGACCTGACTGAACTTTATACCAGACTCATTTTCTGAAACCAAGACACCAGTCCATGGCCATCCAAAATGTTGAATTAAATGTATAAATGCTTTGAATTGATTATAGTCATTTGGCACTGTACGGTAGAAAAATGGAAACTGAACTTTATCGCTAAGGACAGGATCCATGGTTGCATAGCTAATCTGGGAAATATAAATATATCATATTTAGCGTGCACCATATAACAAGTTACTAAATCACCTGCCACCATTCTGGCCAGATCCCCAGTTGTGCCAGTGGGTGGGGGATCCTCTACCGACACCCACTGTCACAATTCAAAAACAGCACGGCCGTGTAGGGCTCCATCCACACAGATTTTTTTTTTTTCATTGACATAGCATGTGTTGCATATAGATATTTACCCTGACATACCACCCACCTGTGATACATGGCATTGTATCCTGTTCCTTCACAGATTGAGCCCGATTTAAAAAATGTGGAACAACCCATATGTAAGAAAAATATATTTGAAATATATTTTAAAAAATATTATTCCCAAATATTGCCATATATTTGAAATACTACAAAATTTGGCCATATTCAATATGTTAAAAAAAAATAAATAAATATATATATATATATACATATATATACACACACACACACACACACACTGTATGTTGAAATGCATTTTTATATGTTAAAATGACTTTTTTATATGTTAAAAAAAATCTGAAGAATATATTTAAAAAATATATATTTTTAAAAATATATATTTTAAATATATTCTTCAGATTTTTTTAATATATAAAATTAATTTTAATATATATTTTTTACATATATTTGTAAATGCATTCCAAAAATGTAGATTTATATTTTTAAAGACATACAGTATATTTGAAATTTATTTTTTTAAATATTTTTCATATATTTTGTAATAAAAATGCATTTCAACATGCAGTATATATTATATATATTTGAAATATATTCTGAAATATATTGAATATGGCCAAAATTGTAGTATTTCAAATATATGGCAATATATTTGGGAATAATCTTTTTAAAATATATTTCAAATATATTTTTCTTCCCCCATGTGGGAACCAAAATCACGAATGCTTAGTATTTACTATGTGACTACTACATACCAGGCTGCAGCAAATTTGCACCATTTTTTTGTGGCGTGTAATTTGTAATGAATTGCTTGCTCCAGCATTTGAGCATACACCAGCTAAGACTTGGCAAGTCTTCAAATAAAAATGTAATTTTTCTGTAATGTTTT